ACCCAGTCTAACGACTCACCCCTACACCCAGTCTAACGACTCACCCCTACATCCAGTCTAACGACTCACCCCTACACCCAGTCTAACGACTCACCCCCACACCCACCCAGTCTAACGACTCACCCCTACACCCACCCAGTCTAACGACTCACCCCTACATCCAGTCTAACGACTCACCCCTACACCCAGTCTAACGACTCACCCCTACACCCAGTCTAACGACTCACCCCTACACCCACCCAGTCTAACGACTCACCCCTACACCCAGTCTAACGACTCACCCCTACACCCACCCAGTCTAACGACTCACCCCTACACCCAGTCTAACGACTCACCCCTACACCCAGTCTAACGACTCACCCCTACACCCCCCCCCCCAGTCTAACGACTCACCCCTACACCCACCCAGTCTAACGACTCACCCCTACACCCAGTCTAACGACTCACCCCTACACCCACCCAGTCTAACGACTCACCCCAACACCCAGTCTAACGACTCACCCCTACACCCAGTCTAACGACTCACCCCTACACCCACCCAGTCTAACGACTCACCCCAACACCCAGTCTAACGACTCACCCCTACACCCAGTCTAACGACTCACCCCTACACCCAGTCTAACGACTCACCCCTACATCCAGTCTAACGACTCACCCCTACACCCAGTCTAACGACTCACCCCTACACCCAGTCTAACGACTCACCCCTACACCCAGTCTAACGACTCACCCCTACACCCAGTCTAACGACTCACCCCCACACCCACCCAGTCTAACGACTCACCCCTACACCCACCCAGTCTAACGACTCACCCCTACATCCAGTCTAACGACTCACCCCTACACCCAGTCTAACGACTCACCCCTACACCCAGTCTAACGACTCACCCCTACACCCACCCAGTCTAACGACTCACCCCTACACCCACCCAGTCTAACGACTCACCCCTACACCCAGTCTAACGACCCACCCCTACACCCAGTCTAACGACTCACCCCTACACCCACCCAGTCTAACGACTCACCCCTACACCCAGTCTAACGACTCACCCCTACACCCAGTCTAACGACTCACCCCTACACCCAGTCTAACGACTCACCCCTACACCCAGTCTAACGACCCACCCCTACACCCAGTCTAACGACTCACCCCTACACCCAGTCTAACGACTCACCCCTACACCCAGTCTAACGACTCACCCCTACACCCAGTCTAACGACTCACCCCTACACCCAGTCTAACGACTCACCCCTACACCCAGTCTAACGACTCACCCCTACACCCAGTCTAACGACTCACCCCTACACCCAGTCTAACGACTCACCCCTACACTCAGTCTAACGACTCACCCCTACACCCAGTCTAACGACTCACCCCTACACCCACCCAGTCTAACGACTCACCCCTACACCCAGTCTAACGACTCACCCCTACACCCAGTCTAACGACTCACCCCTACACCCAGTCTAACGACTCACCCCTACACCCACCCAGTCTAACGACTCACCCCCACACCCACCCAGTCTAACGACTCACCCCTACACCCACCCAGTCTAACGACTCACCCCTACACCCAGTCTAACGACTCACCCCTACACCCAGTCTAACGACTCACCCCTACACCCAGTCTAACGACTCACCCCTACACCCAGTCTAACGACTCACCCCTACACCCAGTCTAACGACTCACCCCTACACCCACCCAGTCTAACGACTCACCCCTACACCCAGTCTAACGACTCACCCCTACACCCAGTCTAACGACTCACCCCTACACCCACCCAGTCTAACGACTCACCCCTACACCCAGTCTAACGACTCACCCCTACACCCAGTCTAACGACTCACCCCTACACCCCCCAGTCTAACGACTCATTCTTACACCCAGTCTCACGACTCATTCTACACCCCCCCCCCCAGTCTAACGACTCACCCCTACACCCAGTCTAACGACTCACCCCTACACCCAGTCTAACAACTCACCCCTACACCCAGTCTCACGACTCATTCTACACCCCCCCCCCCCCCAGTCTAACGACTCCCCTGTAGTCTAATGACCCTGAGGCCGGGCATGTTTAACTAACGAGTGTTTCGTCTTACACGTGTTTTCACATCAGCCTAGCGGCACTAATGACCAGCTGACTTAATGAATGCCTGGTTGCTTCAAGCGGACAGTTTGAGTTCTCTAGTCGTTAACACTCAGTTCAAAATACAATTGCTTTACACAGACAGACTGGCAGGTAGACAGGCAGACAGACAGACGGACGGACGGACGGACGGACGGACGGACGGACGGCTGGACAGACAGACAGGCAGGCAGTTAAAAAGACTGACAGACGGTATGAAACACCTATAGAGATATCTTTACGCTAATATACATTTTCGTTCCTTTTATGTTTAAAAAAATCTTTATATCAACAAGCTTTTAATTGCACTGAAAATAAGCAAATAAAACAAATCTGCTTTATTTCATATAAGATTTTGTCGCTAAAATATATAAAAGATCCCACGAGCGACTATATCAACTGTTTTAGCCATTCCTAAAACAATTTGCTTCAAAACACCACCAGTAGCTCGCGAATATCTGCTATATGAAAGCAGCCGTCAGTAACCACAAATTTACAGCAACCTTATCAAGCGAAAGATAATTCTTAAATCTTGCTACCTCCCCTTGGTTTCAAATCGTTTAAAAAATATATTATCTGCCCTTAATAGCCTTCACTATATTGACCGGCTCTACGATTGTAAACATTCTCGTGAACCACGAGCTCACCAGACTGTTAGGGTGATCGCGTCTAGTTAGTTATCTCCTCTTCTGTTACTGAATATAGAAATCTATTGAGTGATTATATTTTGTTATGCCTTTACTTTCGAACCTGTTCATTAAAATATAATTTTTAATGTCTAATTAAACACCTCTCTAAATAAAATAAAAAAATAGATTTGTTTTTGAAGTGAAGTTTCTGCATTAGAAGTGGGTCAAAATTGAGTTACAAGATTTGCCACAAACCTGCAAACAGCAGTTTCCTATCTAAACCAAAAGCGAAGCTTCTTACGCCGTTGATTATAATTTGAAACAAACCAAAACTCGACCCCCCCCCTTCCCTTAGCTACCGCTGTGTCATAATCCCACCCCTCTACCCACCCCTAGTGTCATAATCCCACCCCTCTACCCACCCCTAGTGTCATAATCCCACCCCTCTACACACCCCTAGTGTCATAATCCCACCCCTGTACCCACCCCTAGTGTTATAGTCCCACCCCTCTACCCAACCCTAGTGTTATAGTCCCACCCCTCTACCCAGCACTGGTGTTATAATCCCACCCCTGTACCCACCCTTAGTGTCATAATCCCACCCCTGTACCCACCCCTAGTGTCATAATCCCACCTCTCTACCCACCCCTAGTGTCATAATCCCCCCTGTACCCACCCCTAGTGTTATAGTCCCACCCCTCTACCCACCCCTAGTGTTATAGTCCCACCTCTCTACCCAGCACTGTGTCATAATCCCACCCCTCTACCCACCCCTAGTGTCATAATCCCACCTCTCTACCCACCCCTAGTGTCATAATCCCCCCTGTACCCACCCCTAGTGTTATAGTCCCACCCCTCTACCCACCCCTAGTGTTATAGTCCCACCTCTCTACCCAGCACTGTGTCATAATCCCACCCCTCTACCCACCCTTAGTGTCATAATCCCATCCCTCTACCCACCCCTAGTGTTATAGTCCCACCCCTCTACCCAGCGCTGTGTCATAATCCCACCCCTCTACCCACCCCTGGTGTTATAATCCCACCCCTGTACCCACCCCTAGTGTTATAGTCCCACCCCTCTACCCACCCCTGGTGTTATAATCCCACCCCTCTACCCACCCTTAGTGTCATAATCCCACCCCTCTACCCACCCCTGGTGTTATAATCCCACCCCTCTACCCACCCCTAGTGTTATAGTCCCACCCCTCTACCCACCCCTGGTGTTATAATCCCACCCCTCTACCCACCCTTAGTGTCATAATCCCACCCCTCTACCCACCCCTGGTGTTATAATCCCACCCCTGTACCCACCCCTAGTGTTATAGTCCCACCCCTCTACCCACCCCTGGTGTTATAATCCCACCCCTCTACCCACCCCTGGTGTTATAATCCCACCCCTCTACCCACCCTTAGTGTCATAATCCCACCCCTGTACCCACCCCTAGTGTTATAGTCCCACCCCTCTACCCAGCGCTGTGTCATAATCCCACCCCTCTACACACCCCTAGTGTTATAATCCCACCCCTGTACCCACCCCTAGTGTTATAGTCCCACCCCTCTACCCAGCGCTGTGTCATAATCCCACCCCTCTACCCACCCCTGGTGTCATAATCCCACCCCTGTACCCACCCCTAGTGTTATAGTCCCACCCCTATACCCAACCCTAGTGTTATAGTCCCACCCCTCTACCCAGCACTGTGTCATAATCCCACTCCTCTACCCACCCCTAGTGTCATAATCCCTCCCCTCTACCCACCCTCTACCCATCCCTAGTGTTATAGTCCCACCCCTCTATCCACTCTAGTATCATAATCCCACCCCTCTACCCACCCCTACTGTTATAGTCCCACCCCTCTACCCAGCGCTGTGTCATAATCCCACCCCTCTACACACCCCTAGTGTTATAATCCCACCCCTGTACCCACCCCTAGTGTTATAGTCCCACCCCTCTACCCAGCGCTGTGTCATAATCCCACCCCTCTACCCACCCCTGGTGTCATAATCCCACTATGTACCCACCCCTAGTGTTATAGTCCCACCCCTCTACCCACCCCTGGTGTTATAGTCCCACCCCTCTACCCACCCCTGGTGTTATAATCCCACCCCTAGTGTCATAATCCCACCCTTCTACCCACCCCTCTACCCACCCTCTACCCACCCCTGGTGTCATAATCCCTCCCCTCTACCCACCCTCTACCCACCCCTAGTGTTATAGTCCCACCCCTGTACCCAGGTGCAACTTACTTCTGCACTTGCCGGGTGAGTGCGCGTCCACCCTGTCGCAGTAGAGCCCCTGGTGTGAGTCGCACACGTCCTTGGTGGTGCACGACTCCCCCAGCTGGCGAGCACACATGTAGCAACAGCTGCAGCCGTCCTTGACCAGCCTCACCCCATCTGTACACGAGATCTCCTCCACGGGGCATTGGCAGGGGTAGTGGCACAAGCCGGAACTCTGGGGACGGGAGATGGCAGGGGTAGTGGCACAAGCCGGAACTCTGGGGACGGGAGATGGCAGGGGTAGTGGCACAAGCCGGAACTCTGGGGACGGGAGATGGCAGGGGTAGTGGCACAAGCCGGAACTCTGGGGACGGGAGATGGCAGGGGTAGTGGCACAAGCCGGAACTCTGGGGACGGGAGATGGCAGGGGTAGTGGCACAAGCCGGAACTCTGGGGACGGGAGATGGCAGGGGTAGTGGCACAAGCCGGAACTCTGGGGACGGGAGATGGCAGGGGTAGTGGCACAAGCCGGAACTCTGGGGACGGGAGATGGCAGGGGTAGTGGCACAAGCCGGAACTCTGGGGACGGGAGATGGCAGGGGTAGTGGCACAAGCCGGAACTCTGGGGACGGGAGATGGCAGGGGTAGTGGCACAAGCCGGAACTCTGGGGACGGGAGATGTCACGTCACTCACTGGAGAGACAGGGCACGTGACAACACCAACTGTCATGCGTGTTCGATTGTAGGAAAAAAAGTCACAGGAGAAAAAAAACACATGAAAAAAAACAGAAATAAAGTCACAGGAAAAAAAGTCACAAATATATATTTGTATGATATTTGTTAATCCTTTTATGTATTAAGTATTTAGAGAGTGCAAATTAACTTAGGATTAATTAAATGTAATGTAATATGTGTAGGCTGTATACACATAGGAATTTTTATAATTCATCTAAAAATATTTATTATGAAATATGTAGATTGTAATAATTTTTAACTTAAGATTAGTAGCATTTAATAGAATGATCCAAAGTCCACGTTTTTCATCGTGTTTTTTTTTAAATACCAATATTAAATTACCGTGAGATGGTAAGTTCATCTGCCCTCAACTCATGACAACAATAGTTATGTTTAGTTCAACCACCTTTACTCCCCACATTTATCACGTTCATTACATAACAAAACTTAGGATCAAAACAGAAAGCCGACAAGGTTCAACAGCTGTCATTGACGCATAACGTCAACAACACAAAATATGTTCGGACAATGCCTACCGAGGAGAGGCCGACCAGAGAATAGCCTACGGCAAAATGTGCCTAAATTTCTTTTATAATTAACTTTTCTACCGCGTATTTAACTAAATAAGTAACAAAAGTTGAGATTGTTGTGTTAATTGTCTTAGAGAATTTTTACTTACAATTGTTATAAATCATAATGCTTTTAACGTCTATAAATAATTTATGCTATCAAAAAATACAACCCACAACAATAAACATACAAAACTTTACAATTCTTAACAAAATAATAAAAAGATTTTCTAAAAAGATTTTTGTGACTTTTTTCTGTGACTTTATTTCTGTGGCTTTTTTTCCGATAAAATTTTTCCACTGTGACTTTTTTCTGTGACTTTTTTTCCTAGCAAAAACGGACTTTTTTTCTGTGTTTTTTTTCCTGTGACTTTTTTTCCGTTCACTTCGTGGTTCATGTACTTGTGTTCTAGACCTTCCATACAACACCATGCGTGTTAATGTACTCGTGTTCTAGACCTTCCATACAACACCATGCGTGTTAATGTACTTGTGTTCTAGACCTTCCATACAACACCATGCGTGTTAATGTACTCGTGTTCTAGACCTTCCATACATCGGCCATGCGTGTTAATGTACTTGTGTTCTAGACCTTCCATACAACACCATGCGTGTTAATGTACTCGTGTTCTAGACCTTCCATACAACACCATGCGTGTTAATGTACTTGTGTTCTAGACCTTCCATACAACACCATGCGTGTTAATGTACTCGTGTTCTAGACCTTCCATACAACACCATGCGTGTTAATGTACTTGTGTTCTAGACCTTCCATACAACACCATGCGTGTTAATGTACTTGTGTTCTAGACCTTCCATACAACACCTTCGGTCATGAGTGTTAATGTACTTGTGTTCTAGACCTTCCATACAACACCATGCGTGTTAATGTACTTGTGTTCTAGACCTTCCATACAACACCATGCGTGTTAATGTACTTGTGTTCTAGACCTTCCATACAACACCATGCGTGTTAATGTACTTGTGTTCTAGACCTTCCATACAACACAATGCGTGTTAATGTACTTGTGTTCTAGACCTTCCATACAACACCATGCGTGTTAATGTACTTGTGTTCTAGACCTTCCATACAACACCATGCGTGTTAATGTACTTGTGTTCTAGACCTTCCATACTACACCATGCGTGTTAATGTACTTGTGTTCTAGACCTTCCATACAACACCATGCGTGTTAATGTACTCGTGTTCTAGACCTTCCATACAACACCTTCGGTCATGAGTGTTAATGTACTTGTGTTTTAGACCTTCCATACAACACCATGCGTGTTAATGTACTTGTGTTCTAGACCTTCCATACAACACCAACGGCCATGCGTGTTAATGTACTTGTGTTCTAGACCTTCCATACAACACCATGCGTGTTAATGTACTTGTGTTCTAGACCTTCCATACAACACCATGCGTGTTAATGTACTCGTGTTCTAGACCTTCCATACATCGGCCATGCGTGTTAATGTACTTGTGTTCTAGACCTTCCACACAACACCATGCGTGTTAATGTACTCGTGTTCTAGACCTTCCATACAACACCATGCGTGTTAATGTACTCGTGTTCTAGACCTTCCATACAACACCATGCGTGTTAATGTACTTGTGTTCTAGACCTTCCATACAACACCTTCGGTCATAAGTGTTAATGTACTTGTGTTTTAGACCTTCCATACAACACCAACGGTCATGCGTGTTTATGTACTTGTGTTCTAGAACTTCCATACAACACCATGCGTGTTAATGTACTTGTGTTCTAGACCTTCCATACAACACCATGCGTGTTAATGTACTTGTGTTCTAGACCTTTCATACAACACCATGCGTGTTAATGTACTCGTGTTCTAGACCTTCCATACAACACCATGCGTGTTAATGTACTTGTGTTCTAGACCTTCCATACAACACCATGCGTGTTAATGTACTTGTGTTCTAGACCTTCCATACAACACCATGCGTGTTAATGTACTCGTGTTCTAGACCTTCCATACAACACCATTGGCCATGCGTGTTAATGTACTTGTGTTCTAGACCTTCCATACATCGGCCATGCGTGTTAATATACTTGTGTTCTAGACCTTCCATACAACACCATGCGTGTTAATGTACTTGTGTTCTAGACCTTCCATACAACACCATGCGTGTTAATGTACTTGTGTTCTAGACCTACCATACAACACCATGCGTGTTAATGTACTTGTGTTCTAGACCTTCCATACAACACCATGCGTGTTAATGTACTCGTGTTCTAGACCTTCCATACAACACCATGCGTGTTAATGTACTTGTGTTCTAGACCTTCCATACAACACCATGCGTGTTAATTTACTCGTGTTCTAGACCTTCCATACATCGGCCATGCGTGTTAATGTACTTGTGTTCTAGACCTTCCATACAACACCATGCGTGTTAATGTACTCGTGTTCTAGACCTTCCATACAACACCATGCGTGTTAATGTACTTGTGTTCTAGACCTTCCATACAACACCATGCGTGTTAATGTACTCGTGTTCTAGACCTTCCATACAACACCATGCGTGTTAATGTACTTGTGTTCTAGACCTTCCATACAACACCATGCGTGTTAATGTACTTGTGTTCTAGACCTTCCATACAACACCTTCGGTCATGAGTGTTAATGTACTTGTATTCTAGACCTTCCATACAACACCATGCGTGTTAATGTACTTGTGTTCTAGACCTTCCATACAACACCATGCGTGTTAATGTACTTGTGTTCTAGACCTTCCATACAACACCATGCGTGTTAATGTACTTGTGTTCTAGACCTTCCATACAACACCATGCGTGTTAATGTACTTGTGTTCTAGACCTTCCATACAACACCATGCGTGTTAATGTACTTGTGTTCTAGACCTTCCATACAACACCATGCGTGTTAATGTACTTGTGTTCTAGACCTTCCATACTACACCATGCGTGTTAATGTACTTGTGTTCTAGACCTTCCATACAACACCATGCGTGTTAATGTACTCGTGTTCTAGACCTTCCATACAACACCTTCGGTCATGAGTGTTAATGTACTTGTGTTTTAGACCTTCCATACAACACCATGCGTGTTAATGTACTTGTGTTCTAGACCTTCCATACAACACCAACGGCCATGCGTGTTAATGTACTTGTGTTCTAGACCTTCCATACAACACCATGCGTGTTAATGTACTTGTGTTCTAGACCTTCCATACAACACCATGCGTGTTAATGTACTCGTGTTCTAGACCTTCCATACATCGGCCATGCGTGTTAATGTACTTGTGTTCTAGACCTTCCACACAACACCATGCGTGTTAATGTACTCGTGTTCTAGACCTTCCATACAACACCATGCGTGTTAATGTACTCGTGTTCTAGACCTTCCATACAACACCATGCGTGTTAATGTACTTGTGTTCTAGACTTTCCATACAACACCTTCGGTCATAAGTGTTAATGTACTTGTGTTTTAGACCTTCCATACAACACCAACGGTCATGCGTGTTTATGTACTTGTGTTCTTGAACTTCCATACAACACCATGCGTGTTAATGTACTTGTGTTCTAGACCTTCCATACAACACCATGCGTGTTAATGTACTTGTGTTCTAGACCTTTCATACAACACCATGCGTGTTAATGTACTCGTGTTCTAGACCTTCCATACAACACCATGCGTGTTAATGTACTTGTGTTCTAGACCTTCCATACAACACCATGCGTGTTAATGTACTTGTGTTCTAGACCTTCCATACAACACCATGCGTGTTAATGTACTCGTGTTCTAGACCTTCCATACATCGGCCATGCGTGTTAATGTACTTGTGTTCTAGACCTTCCATACAACACCATGCGTGTTAATGTACTCGTGTTCTAGACCTTCCATACAACACCATGCGTGTTAATGTACTTGTGTTCTAGACC